GGGGCCGTTTTATACAGCTGATTCCCTCTTAACCATAACGAATCAACGCAAATCTTCTTAAATCTTATAGTCTTTGTACAGTTGATAATTGGATAAAATACTTATCATTCAAGGTCATTTCCACAAGCCCTTTGTAGGTCTGTGAATCCCAAAAAGGTAATAAGCCCTTGTCTCCGCGCAGTCGTATAAATTTTGGATTAATTATTTAAATATAAATTGAATAGCTCATAACAAATCTAAATTATCAAAACACGGAATATGTTAGTAGTGAGTTAGTGATTAACTTCAAAGCTAATTAACATAATATTGAATAATTTATTTAACTGAGTGCAGAGGCGAGCGATAGCCACAGGTTTGCGGAGGCTGGTAACTAAATTGTGGCCGAAATGTACACTAAATTGATGTAGTTCAACAAAAACATATCCACCGTTCTAATTATACAAATCTCTGGACTCTGGACAGACTTTAATGAGATAGTAATGGATTAGTTATTGGTAAAGTTTAAAGCTGGTAATATGTTTTGGTAAATAATACTAAAGGCGTTTTTTCTGATTATGAATTTAAGTGTTTTTTTATTTAATTTATTATAACAAACATATCAAAATTATTGTTAAAAATCTGTGTACAAAATAGATCTTATTATCTCGGCATCTGACTTACATTTTGACCAGCTTGATGCCGTAAACAACTTCATCAGACTTCATAACTGAGTACGGCGTCACTGGCAAACGAGTTAATTTTTAATCATGGATCAAAAATGAATACTTATCTTTCTACGTTATACAAGTTACTGATCTTAAGTCAAAAATACTAAAATTACTCAATTTGTATAATGGATTATACGACTGAAAACTTATAGTAAATCTAAGAGCCTCCCATTTTAATACAAGATGTATTCATACATTTCCCTACAGTTCAATTTATGTCTATGCCTATGTGCAATTGGAAAACATAACAATTTGATTGCAAATAAGTTGAAGAATTAAAAAAGAATTAGTTTTCAATAGTCGATAAGGCCTGAGCGATCATTCTTTTTTAATTATCGCAATTCGAAAAGAGGTTAAGCGGTTTATTCCGTGACATCAGAGAAATTGAGTGGGAACGAATGTTTCGCTAAAGTCCCCGTAAGCTTGCACTTAAACATTCTTTAATCGACGTGAACTCTACTTATTGTATAAAGTTTTTCGTTTCCGCGAACTCGAATACTTTTTAAATTAACATTTTCTTTTGTCGAAGTGCTACACAACAACTTATTGCACTTACAAATAACTCAACTTTAATACGATTGAACGAATTACTAGTTTTTTACATAACTTACAAACAAATACGTTTTTAAGAATCATCGCACTTCACTTGATGTTTTGTAACAACCCATAAGGAAACTAGAGCCATCTAGAGACGCTTAGTTTTGATAGCTTTAACCGACCTGTCGAACTATTTAAAACTGAAGGAGTTTAGCGGACTTTAGTTAAAGTATATAAATTATCTCTTGAACGAAACAAAAACATCTAACCATTTTATTTTTCACCCCATGTCGATAATTTGTTGACTATTAAATGCCAGCGCAGCTTACGTCAAAGATTTAATTTTGCATAACACAAAGCAAAGCAGTTATAAACTGTACTTACTAGGGTAGGGTCGAATTATTATCATGACTTTTGTTATTACGCTTTGCTTTATAAAAACAGAAAATTGCCTTAATGAATTCATTACATGTGATAATGCAATATTTGATACATACCAAAATTGTAAAATAAAAGGAATGTGAATGCATGTTTTTATAAACCCAATATCATACTATTTTAACTCATCATTTTATCATACGTCATATCGCATTCCACATAATGACGTTGTCGTATTTGTGACGAAGGCATACGTGCTCATGGCCGCATCCGCCGGATCAAAGTTAAGCAATTACAGCATTAACGTAGAGTGATTACCACCAATTAGGGCGGATAAGTCAGACGGTAGATAAGAGGCGAATGAGGATTTTGTACCACTTTGTATTGAATTTACAGACTTTTTGACGTTTCTGATTTAGTTAATGTGAATTGGAAGTAGAGTTTTTAATCTACGCTTGAAACTGTAAAAAATGCTACGTCGTAGCTTCACACATGCCGACAAAAGAACCAAACGTATCTATTAAAACTAAGACATGCATTATTTCAAACCATTTTATTTAAAAACTTTATTTAATTAGTACGTAGTCAAAATTTCATTTGTACTTCCCGATTAGATCTTAGAAAGGATAGGTTTCTTGGTTTCGATTCAAAGTAAATATGCTTCAGATAGAAATCGGCTAGTTAATCAAATGATTTCACATTCAGCCCTCATGAACGTGCTTCGACGCAATGGCGAAATCAATTATTTCATACCTGCCGGGTCACCGGTCGCTGTGCCTTCTAACAAATGTACGATATTCGAATGGTATTTGAGGCACGCAGATGTCCTTTTAAAGCGCCGTTTGCTGCCTCTCCAAATCCCGATGATCTGAATATTAATTGAAATGCTTTAGAAATGTTATCTGGATAATCCATAAATTGTTGAAAAACAGAGAATGCGATGAATTTAGAAATGCAAAAAATTTACAACCTTATTTATAGACTTAACTATTATTAAGAAATCCCATTTTATAAAATGTATTAACTATAACCCTTCTCAGATAAAGAAATCGATTAACATGGAACATAATTGGTATAATAAAATTAAAATTAAGGTTGTAACTATATAACAAGTAAAAACGTGGGGTCCCTGTAGGGACTCTGAAGAGTAACATCATATTGTAAACGACATCAAATATTTCCGATATGTTAGAAATAAGGTCAAATTTTAATGGAACGTCAGAAAAAAGCACAGCGAATGCAAGAAGCGACTGAGAAATTCATCGACGGTATAATAAGATGGTAACAAGGCACTTAGTATTCCGCCAGAGGAGGGTCTATTCTCCTGCATTTCATGGAACGACAATTATGAGCCCCAGGGATCTACGTGCGTCTCGCCGCTGAATGACAATTGAGCTTGGAATCAATTGAAGACGGCAAAAAGCCAAGGACATATTTTATTATTCACAATTGCATATTTAACTTTGTGATTTATTATATACTTTCTTAATTTCCACGTCTTTCGTAAAAAATAGAGAGTTCCCTAAAAGTACATTGATGACATTAAAGAAACCTATAACGATCTAACGTAGGTATACGGCAATGTATGATGGAAGACGGAAAGAGGTATTTTAGTTCCCGTGTAAAATGGAAATCCGTAATCTCTGCTGCTATCTTTGTGTCACGTACGCAATGCTCCGAGTTAGCAAAGTACGTATTCTTTTTTATTTCAAGAGTCGTGTTTTGGCATAAAGAACTGACATACTTCTGTTACTTAATGGACATTATTGTGCAAGACGTAACCTGTGAAAAAATAGAATAAAAATATGTTGCTTCATATGTTACTCTTCATGTGAGTATGTAATATTTCTTAAACAGTATAACACTAAACTTTTTAATCAGTCAACGAAAAAAATGGACGCTTATAAAAGACATCTTGCAACTCACTGTTAACGTATAGAACGTTTCCAATTATAGAGCTAATGAAACGTTAGAACATAATACGAACTGTTAGCAAAACTCAAAACGAATGCTGCAAAAAATTGCAAGCTCCACGTTCGATTTAATTTATCGCTAACATTCTTGTTATTGCTTGCAATCATTTTGAAATAGAAAGAACTGAAGCAGAGTCACGTAACAAAACAGTAGATCTTGAAGCATTTAACTATGCTTCTGAAAATCAATAGGCTAAGTAAGCAATATTAAAAATTTTAACATTTGTACAGCTAACAACAGATTGATGCTACTAAGTTCAAATTGCAGAAGATTTTAAAGATTTTTTATTTGAGTAGTCCCGGAGACATGATAACTGGGAATAGAGGAGAATGATGGTGTCCTGGATACGTCGAAATTTAAATAATTTATTATAAATAATACACATTATATAAAATGTATTGCTAGTAAATTAATGTTATTATTATATACATTTAATAGGTCATAATTATAACGAAATGGGAATGACAAAAGACGTAGGTCCCGTTTGTGAGCGCTGTGTAACTGCGCTTGCAACTAGCAGATATCAAAGCGTGTGCTCTGGACCGGAAACTGTGACGCAACATTTGAAACCAAATGAAAACATTCAGACAAAAGGTATCGAACAAAAACGAGGCGACGGATGCCTTTGCAACAACACCTTGACTCGCATCGCCCTTGACTTCAGAGAAAACAGCTGATCGGATACCGAGTACCATCTATTGTCAAAAGAAATTATACATACATGATAACAATCTAACGGTAGGTGTCCACTATCAATATATTTAAAAATAGATATAGGTAATGTCTGACTCTCTTTTTCTTAAAAAAAACAGGACCGCTTTGAATAACATTTACGAAAGAAAGATCAAGGTGATTCTTACATTCTTATGGAGTATTAGGTGAAAAATATAAACACAAATCTCGAAAACGATGTGACAATGCGCACCTCGGTCCTTCGGTGAATCGCTAAAGTGCTAAATAGGTATTCATTTCCCTATCAAGAATTTCACGTCGTTTTATGAAACTACGCAATTTTAACTACAAACAATTTAATTATAACGAGACTTTATTACTAATTTATTTAGATATAAGAAAAAGAATGTCATTGAATTTGATTTCATATGTTAAATTTTTTATTACAACTCTAACATAGTATTTCGGAATATCATTAAACTTGAACTAAGTAACTTCAAAAGATAGGTACGCTTAGAAGTCAAAAAGGCTTATAATATTGTTATATTCATTAAATTACATTCTATTATAAACGATCCAGGTCACAAGCGTGTTACTTTGACCGCTATTTAATTTTACCCTGACATTAAAATCTAGCTAAGTGTATTATTGCCAATACTATATAAGCTGCGAAAAAATTGTAAAAGGTATCATTTAGCAATCTTAGCTCTCCACGGTTGGAAAAACGGGAAGATGAGAAGCATCGCTTTTATCTGTTTGGTGGCTAGCATAGCCCTCGTCTACTCGAGGGAAGTGCGGTACAAGAGGAGTGCCGACTTAGAAACAGCTGCTTCTCACAAGTGGGAAAAAGGTGATGGCGGTGAACACTACGGCGATAATTTTGGTAAATATGGCGAAGAGGGCGAAAAGGGATACAAAGGATACCATGGACACGAACATGGAGCAAAGGGTCATTCGGACCATGAGGGACACAAGGGTCACTACGACGAGGACGGTGGACACAAGAAATACCATCACCACGACGACGGATACTTCGATGAGCACAATCATGGAGAAAAGGGAGAGAAAGGTTACGGATTCGAAGAGAAGGGACACTTCCACAAGGGCCATTCTACCAAGGGACACCACGGTGTTCATAAATTAGACGAGTTCAAGAAGGACAAACATTTCCATGACAAACACGGCGAATCTGGTTTCGAAGAAAGTTATGGTGGTCACCACAACGAGGGCGGATACAAGGAAGGAGGACATTTTGACAAAGGACACGCAAACGGTGGATTCGATGAACATGAACATGGTGAGAAGGGTCATCATGAAAAGGGAGGTCACCATCACGATCACAAGGGCCATCACGAGGAAGGAGGCAACGAAGAATATTGGGGCCATCACGAAGATCATGGCAACAAAGGTGGACTCGAAGAACACAAAGGCTGGGGCTGGAAAGGACACTAAGCACTAATTACGAAAAATGAAAAGATGAGGCATTTTGTTATTGTTGATTACTTTGTGATACAGGTTTAATTAATATATTTATTAGCTTTGAAAAATGCCTATTATTTATTACTAACGCTATCCTAATTTAACTATTGTTTAGGTTACTGTAACGTATTTTTATACAGCTCATTATTTCCCTTTCATTATAGACAATTAAATCCTACTCTTAAAATATTTAAAAAATATGCCATGTGACTATCAAAATATACCACATCACCAGTACCTTTAAAAATTCAAAATTGATATATAAGTATAAAAAAAAAATCATTCGAAACATAAAAAATATCATTTTAAAGGTAGAAACGAAAATACAATTCGCCGATTCGATCCATTTACTGAATAAAAGATATATAATTCTTCTAGTCGATATTTAGCTGTTACTGTTCGTCTCCTAAAAAAAACATATTATTAGATGCCACACAAAGTTCGGAAATCTCTACTTTTAAAAACTAAAGGGCATATAAACAAATCTTTATGCAAATCTTATAATAGTATTAGCTTTAGTATTACATATTTATTAAAATAAATTTAAAATTAGTGCTTTGAGTGAAAATCAGTGCGCTCGACCTTGACTGATCGACTCCGGTCCAACTAAAGTTTCCTAACAGCAGCGGCAAGTACTATAAAATGAAAATGTTGCCTATCAGAAGTATCATTCCACAAGTGAACATCAATCAACCAACCATGAGAACCAGTCTTCTGGTGGCGTTCGGGCTCATCGCCCTCGCAGCGGCGGTCTCCGGTAGAGAAATCCGGGAGAAGAGGGATGCCGACCTGGAGACTGCAGCCTCCGGTCACCATTGGGATAAGGGTGGCGGCCACGAACACCATGGGCACCACCATCACGAACACGGTGACCACGGCCACAAGGGACACAAGGGTCATCACGAGCATCACCATGGGAAACACGGACATCATCACCATGAGGGACACAAGGGACACCATGGTGAGCACGGCGGCCACAAGAAACACCATCACCACGATGAAGGTTACCATCATCACAAGGGACACGGCGAGAAGGGCGAACATGGTCATGGCCATGAGGAACACGGTCACTGGCACAAGGGACATGACACGAAGGGACACCATGGTATCGAGAAACACGACGAGTTCAAGAAGGACAAGCACTTCCACGACCACCATGGCGAAAAGGGCTTCCATGAACATCATGGTGGTCACCATCATGAAGACGGATACAAGAAGGGCGGCCACTTCCACAAGGGACACAAACACGGTGGACATCATGAGCACCATCACGGGCATAAAGGACATCATGAAAAGGGTGGACACCACCACGACCATAAGGGACATCATGGTGAGGGCGGTCATCACGAGCATCATCATCATCATCATGAACATGGAAAGAAGGGCGGTCATGAGGACCACAAGCACTGGGGACACAAGTCTGGTCACTAAACTACTCCTACTACACTAAGACAGTGTAGTAGTACACTGTGTCTTAATTGTTATTTGTTGATTTTTGTTTTGTAAAGACTTCATTGTTATTTTTTATTGCCAGATAAAAATAATACCAATAAAAGGTTTTAAACAATAATAAACATACAATTTATTAACAATCACACCTACTATCTACTTTTATCAAAAAATTAGCAAAGCATAAATAATCGTCCCTAAAAATATTGAGAACAAAATATGTGAATATGACTGAATCAATTTTGCAAGAGTCTTTATGATAAAATTCCGTAGACGTTTGTAACATTTATTAGTATATGTACTAATAATATATGCGTATGAGTACTTATATGTGTATATTTCTTTTGAATCAAATTATGAATAAAAATAAAGATTAACTACTCTGTTGTATACCGTCACCAAACACCAGCCTCACTTGTAACAAAGAAATATATTAAATGTTTAACTACTATTGTACAAATGTATGTCTACTAAAATCTATTTCAATTATCGTTAATGGCGAATAAACATGTTAAAACATAAATTAACTGAAATTGAAAGATTTTCTGATTTTAAACATTAAATTGATTAACTTGATGCTATGTAACATTATCTGATCCTATGTAATTTGATATAATATTTGGTAATTACAGGTATAATCAAAGAGATTCAAACAGTATATTGTATTAAATGTATTTGGGTATAACACTGATTATCGCTATGAAAAAAACACTTGACAATTTTATAATTTAGCTTTGCAAATTTTCTCTTTCAATTACCAAACAATCATGGCATAAGGATTTTAATCCTTTTGGATGCTCGCGGGTTTATTTCGTTTTTGATCCCTCTATATCTTCGTTGATATCAGAAGACAGATGTGTATTATTTTTTATTCTTGTTGCGTATACTAACCTTATCTCTTTCTTTTGTTAGTTTTTGGAAAGCGTTGGGCTTATGTTCAGCTGTTGGCAGACAAAACTGATAATGATGATGCTTCTCCAAAAGTCACTTTTTTCAGTGTTTTAATATTCAGTATTCATTTTGAATACAATTTATTAAAGAAAGATAAGCGACTGATATCATTAATGTCTGTTTAAAACCAGTTTCATGTAAATTGTATAAATTATGAAATATTGCCGGGGAATAAAGTTTATCTTCATGTCCAGTGGCTCAAAAAAATATAAAAATAACGAACGCTTAGTGCAAGGAAAAGTTCGTCATCTAAACACGAAAATGGTTGCAAGAAATATCAAGATTCCCACTGTCATACTTAATTAACAGGACATGATATTTTGTCAAGTATAATTTTATACATACGAAATGTTCATCATCATCACCAGCTCACTATACGTCCCCACCGAGGGGCTCGCAGCCTACCCTGAATATGGGGTGACTAAGCCATAGTCAACCACGCTGGCCAAGTGCGGGTTGGTTGACTTCACACATGTCTTAGAATTTCTTCGCCGATATGTGCAGGTGGCATCACGATGTTTTCCTTCACCGTAAGAACGTCGGGTAAATTATGTACATATGAAAATTCGAAAAATCGAAAATCACATTGGTACATGGCGGGATTCGAACCCAAGACCTGTAGATTACAAGTCAAGTCTTCAAACCACAGAGCCACCGACGCTTTTTTTACGAAATGTTAGTACCTTTTAATTGCACGTAAACTTCATCTAAACAACCAACTAAGGTGATCTAATCTCAAACATGTGAAATAAAATGCTTTATATTTATGAATGTATAAAAAAGCTGTAACTACTTATTTTGTACTCGTAAAGATATACATAGTCGAGTACAAAGTTAAGTATCGAAATATAGAAACACCCTTTCTTTATAACATACCTAATTCATATCCTCATATGTTTTGAACATGTGAGTCGGAGGACATTTTTATTGGCTAAAAGAAAATATTGAAAGTAGCTAAATGATCTATTTATAAATTATTTGTATTACCTGTAATTTATTACTATAAATTAAATTCCAAGTACTTACATCCGCTCAGCCTGGAAGTGAAAATCATCAATCGCTCGTCTAACCTTGACCGACAGACAGACAGTGCAGTACAACGTAATGTTTCCTAACAGTAACAACAAGTACTATAAAATATGATCGTTGCCTGTTTTAGTATCATTCAACAGCTGAACATCAATCAACCAACCATGAGAACCAGTCTTCTGGTGGCGTTCGGGCTCATCGCCCTCGCAGCGGCGGTCTCCGGCAGGGAGATCCGGGAGAAGAGGGATGCCGACCTGGAGACTGCAGCCTCCGGTCACCATTGGGACAAGGGTGGCGGCCACGAACACCATGGACACCACCATCACGAACACGGCGACCACGGCCACAAGGGACACAAGGGTCATCACGAGCATCACCATGGGAAACACGGACATCACCATCATGAGGGACACAAGGGACACCATGGTGAGCACGGCGGCCACAAGAAACACCATCACCACGATGAAGGTTACCATCATCACAAGGGACATGGCGAGAAGGGTGAACATGGTCATGGCCATGAGGAACACGGTCACTGGCACAAGGGACATGACACGAAGGGACATCATGGTATCGAGAAACACGACGAGTTCAAGAAAGACAAGCACTTCCACGACCACCATGGCGAAAAAGGCTTCCATGAACATCATGGTGGTCACCATCATGAAGACGGATACAAGAAGGGCGGCCACTTCCACAAGGGACACAAACACGGTGGACATCATGAGCATCATCATGGCCACAAGGGTCATCATGAGAAGGGAGGACATCACCACGACCATAAGGGGCACCATGGTGAAGGCGGTCACCACGAGCATCATCATCATCATCATGAACATGGAAAGAAGGGCGGTCATGAGGATCACAAGCACTGGGGACACAAGTCTGGTCATTAAAACATTCGCCTCACTGTTAACGCAGAGCGACTACATCTCTGCTTACGTTGTTACTTTACATGTTGATTTTGTTATATGTACAATTTTTTTACGATTTTTTACTGCTACAAAGAAAACAAATACTAATAAAGTGAATTAATAAAACATATGTAACTATACCATTTCTTCGCATATTTCCCACAGAAAGTTATTTACTAAACAAATGAGCGTGAAACTTAAAATGATTCACATTCATTTTGAACTAGTTAATCGAAAGAAGAAAGTTAAATAAAAGAAGTACAATATTGATACATTAAATATATAGGTGTTTTCAAGGCAGTTATCCCTTTAACAAGGAATAGTTAAAGATTAGACTAATTCCCAATTTGACAGTCCGTTTATTTAGTAGTAATATAGTAATATAAGATGGCAAATGAGCAAGAGAGCAAGAGTCATCGAAATTTCCCAAAACGGTGAAGTGACCGCTGCCCATAGACATGCATTTGCAGATGCTTGGCCTCGTTTGATCCTCAAAGAATGCGACGAGGATTTTTGGTACCCCTCACGCGCAAGTTCAACCCTTTCATCTATCCTTCAATACAAGAAAGAAGAGAAGGGGATAACAACAAAAAATAGGTACCTTTTACACACATTCATCAGATGAAACTGTGAATTTTCTCTACTTCACGTATACCTTCTATTGCGGTATTTCACCGTTCGAGTCGGTTAATTCGACATATTTTGTTGTTTCTGGCACTACGTACTACTGTTAAAGAACGATCTATATGGGAAACAACCTTCATCAATGTCCGAAAGAAAAATGTGAAGACCAATTCTAGTTTATTATTTACAAAGGATTCACTTGTTGTATCAATGTTTTATTTTAATGTAGCTAAACCTACTAACTTTAATGTTGCAATGCGATAATATCCTACCAAATTTACATCAAAATCTATTTACTTGATAAATATTAGCAAATTAATAATTATATAAAAACCTTCATACATTATGGAAATTAATCAAACAACACATCCACAATACATATTACATACAACCAACATACAACCGACCACCACCATACAACCAACTACATATTAATTCGCAACTTTAAGGGCCTGTCCCACCACTGCCTGATAGAGGATCAGATAGTTTAATACTGACGTTACTGTCAGATAAGGGAACAGAATCCGATATTTCCATCACATATTTTACACGTTGGATTTTTATCAGACAATTTACAATTTGGTAGGACAGGCTCTTTATATTTATGCACATGCGATGACTGTCTTTGAATCAAAGTTAGGAGACAAGGAGATGACGAAAAATTTGAAATGAAACGAGATAATTCAAAGTAAGACAAATTACCTCTGGCCAGTATTCTGAGAATGAGCCAATCTATTTAGTAACAGTTTGCTTTCTTATCCTCATACCAAGTAGCTTAGCTCGATATGCTACAAATGCTGATACTTATTTTTTAAAACAAAGCGACTTAAGCACAAATTAAAAGCAATTACGTTTGAATTGTTCTTTACGTGTCCCCTATCGCAACAGGGACGCTAACTGTTTGCATTTCGGAACTCCCCCGCGACTAAACATTGCAGATATTTAAAAAGTTGTTTATTTTACGGCTGCACCGCAAGCTCGCTTTGCTTAGTTACTATGACAATAAAAGTTTTTCGTCGAGATCTCTGTACAAATGTTAGTATGATATTATACTATACTTGTATGATTATTATTTCCCATATATCTTTATTTCTTATTTTTTTATACAATACATTTTACATTATTTTTATTATTATTATTATTACTTGACTTTTTTATTCCCTTTTGCTTCCCCCTACTTTAAAAGCCAAAGAAAAAGAGTGATGGCGTCGATTGTTCGACGGAGAATGTAGTAAACAAAAAAGAGTTTTAGTAATTTGTCATAATTACATTGTGTATTTAAGTAACAGAAGCAACGATTCTATTCCCTAAATACACATGTTACTATTTACTACTACTAACAAAAGTCCTTAGTTAATACGTATACTTAGTATGGTTACTCAAAATTTTATTTTCTACAATTCCAACGATTTTATTTCCGTTTAAAGAAATTCACCAAACAAAACTGAATTGACCTCGACAGTGCAGAGCAAACGATTCGGCCTGCAATAGTTGCCCAACGTTAGAGCCGAGACAATTTCATCTATAAAACCACTGCAATATTGTCGACTACCATAAACAAATACGTGCTTTCCTAGAGTACGGTTAACATGAAGGTGGCACTTGTATTGGGATGCCTGGTGGCACTCGCCGTGTTGGCGAGCGCCCGAGACCTGAGGGAGAAGCGCGATGCAGATCTTGAGGCGGCGGCCTCCGGGAAACATGAAAAGGGAGGCGGTCGCGAGCACCACGCCCATCACCACCACGACCACGGTGGAAAAGGTCACAAGGGCTACAAGGGCCACCATCATCACGAACACGGCAAAAAAGGACATCACCACCACGAAGGTCACAAAGGCCATCACGAAGGCCACGGAGGCCACGAGAAGCACCATCACCACGACGACGGCCACCATCATGAACACCATCACGGCGAAAAGGGCGAAAAGGGACACGGTTTCGAAGAAAAAGGACATTACCACAAGGGTCATTCGACCAAAGGTCACCATGGAGTACACAAAGTAGACGAATTTAAGAAGGATAAGCACTTCCATCACAAGCACGGTGAATCTGGCTACGAAGAAGGACATGGTGGACATCATCACGAGCACGGACACAAGAAGGGCGGTCACTTCCACAAGGGTCACAAGCACGGCGGCCATCACGAACATGAACACGGTGAAAAGGGTCACCATGAGAAGGGTGGACACCATCACGATCACAAGGGACACCATGACGAGGGCGGCCACCACGAGCATCACCATCACCATCATGACCACGGAAAGAAAGGAGGCCATGAAGACCACAAACATTGGGGATTTAAGAAGGGACATTAAATCATCGTTAATGTTAAATAATTTGTTGCTGTGCAGTGTGTTTTGTTATTTTTATAACTTTGTAAATAATTGCTTAATAAAATAATGATTTATTAAGAACTAGATTTGTATTATTACTTATATGATAAACATGATCAACTTGTCCAAATTTACGTTGGCAACGTTGGGTCGGCACATTATGTGCTGCTTTTCCATACATCCTTAACAGCAGTCATATTTAAATTAACCCTCTTCTAAAACATAGCTTCTTACACAGAAACTATCGTCACTTACTTTGGTCTTCCTCTAAATTTCTAGCTATATAAATTCAAACCTAACACCTTGTTTATGGCTTCATCATCTCGCCTAAATTATAACCATCTGTAATTAGTTAATTCCCCACCCCTAAAATTAGTTTCACATGCAATATGTTTTTACGTAATATTTGTTGTGGTTTATCTTAACCGATATCTATTGTCCACACAAACCACATATATTTGCGTGTTATTTATCCAATTGGTTAATATGTACAATAGTTAATTTTCCTCACAGGTATGATTCAAAAACACTATTGAGTGTTAAATAAAGTAGAGGGACATTTCAGTTTTTATTTTCAGAATATACTCGATACCTATAAACAAAAGTAGAAATCCCACGTAAAGTTACTGTGTTTTACGAACATTCTTAAAAATTAATATATTTTCAGATCCTTAACTATCATACTTTACAACACAGTTTCATACAAACATAATAAATGCGAAAGATTAGATGGATGGAAGGATGTTTGTTGCTACGTACGTCCTAAATAGTTAATAGGATCTCACATATATTTCAGTGCCGTATTAACAATATTGGTACATTTATAATAAGAAAATATGTTAAATTAGTCGATGCCATAGGGGACAAAATAAAGGGCAGGTTTGTAAACGAACATTAAAATGTACTATTAAACGAACTGCAGTAAAGTAAAGAATGAAAAATTAAAACTTCTATTATTAACGAAGAATAATTGTAATTTTGTATGGAAACTAGCTTTTGCCCGCGACTACGTCCTCGTGAAATTTAAAAATGATCATAAAGAAATAAAAAAATATAGCCTATGTTACTCACAGTTACATAACCTTTCTAACGGTGAAAGAATTTTTAAAATCGGCCCAGTAATTTTTGAGGCTATTCATTACAATCAAACAAACTTTTCCTTTTTTTAATATTAGTATAGTAAACACCCTTTTAGTATCTTATGCGTGACAGGCGGAAGTGGTGCGAAAGCCAGCTACACACCTTCAGTTTAAGCGTTAGCAAGAATTTTTGTTTGTACTATTAGGAGACTTTTAAAATAAACATAAAAAATCAAACAAGGTATAGTGTGCGCCTTTTAAAAATATAACTGTTAAGTCGAAGTTCTACATTTCTGCTGTTAGTGTGGCCACAGACCGCAAAATATCACCACAAAACATAATTGGTCACTTAACAACATGTTACCTACTAACCAACTAACTACGAGTACTAACAAATTTACTGTCTACTGAATATTGAGTAATTAATCATGACAATTTTATGCTCCCATATTGGAATATAAACAAGATTTTTGTTTTAAAGTTCACTGAAAACAAATTCAAAAGGCAATTGTTATGGTTACTATGATAAGTTTGTTTCGAACGTTGCTTATAAAATTATAATACTTAAAATCTCCGTTATTATGAGATCAAATTAGAAAATCACCATTTAATTGTCTAGCCACTGCCTCACGGCCGGTAACCTCACTCGGTGACCTTCTTCGTTTTGACCGTGCCCTTCGCAGCTGGCGACGAATTTCTCGCCATGACCGGAATATTATATTTATAACATTTAAAAACACCAAATATAGAAAGATATATAGACTGCATTAAATCACAAGCTACTTTCATGTTTATATTGCTCTAATATCAAATTAAAACCTTCAGGATTTAATATTATCTAAAGCTTCATGTTACGCACATAAATATAGGTGCCTAGATTTCGGCGGCGACTCCGTTCGCGTGAAATTTGAAAATAAGTTATGAAGCCTATGTCTTTTTTCAGACTATCCAATACTACTATGCTAATTGCTAATTGCTAATTTCATCGACATCCGTTCAACAGTTTAGGCTCCAGACTCCAAACATCCATCCATCCATCTAAACATTCGCATTTATATTATTAATATGATGTAAGTTACATTCAACATTTAGTTAACTTTTACCGCATTGACTGGTTGCCTTTCCTTTGTTAACCATAGAAATTAGTATCAAAAAATAATATTTATTATTGAACAATATTTAAAACAATTCTGTTACACTGATCTGTTAAGCAGAAGGTTTTACGTCACTTTTTTTAGATCGTAATGTCGCATTCGTGGTTGGGTTAGTTTTTGTTACACCATGGTTACACTACGTAATTTCAAGTAACAGACTACAAAGAAGGTGTACTTATCTGACTTGTGATGTCACAGTACTTAAGCTTTCAGAGTCAATTACAGGTTACACAAGTGGTCCCTTAATCTAGATGTCTTTAAGAATACATAGAAACTCCGGTAATAAGTTACGAAGAATAAGTTTTATACTTTACTATTTTCCTTCTTTACAGAGCACTGTGCTAATAGTTATATTAAGAAAACAAAGTTCCACAACAAATAATTGTAACATTAAAAACCGTTACATGAATGTTTTAAAATAGCAACAACAATTACATTGACCAAATAACAAATATTGATTCTAACTCTTCGACGTCTAGGAATTAGTTCCAGTTTGAATGAACAAATTGTGTTGCTTTTGCAAAATCAACCTTGACTTATAAAATAATTAAAAGACGTTTTGACAAATAAAAACGATTGAAATCTCAATTACTTTTATAGGTAAGTATTTCTTTATAAACTGTGATTTTTGTATGTAGTTTGTACGAACAATAATATTTTTAAAAATACTTTTTCTGGACACTAAATTACTTAGGTATATCAAGCAGATAAATAAATTCATTATATTTTATAATTGTTTAATTTTCATTACATTATCTCATAAATAAAGTTAAAAACGATTATTAACAACAAAATAACCTACGTTTTGCAATAAATAAATAGTATAGAAATAGGTAAATTAAAAAATCGTTGGTCCGAAAATGCATTGTCCAAGGAAATCCTTCACGAATTAAACTTATTGTCCTTTCTTGTATGCCCATTTCTTGTGATGATCATGGCCTCCTTTCTTAGCGTGATCGTGGTGATGATGATGATGAGTATCGTGACCAGCTGACTCTTTATGGCCCTTGTGTACCTCATGGTGGCCTCCCTTCTCGTGATGACCCTTCTCGCCGTGCTCAAGTTCCACGTGATCGCCATGATGGTGCCCCTTCTTAAAGTGCCCTCCTTTTTTGTGTCCGTGCTCCTCATGGAAGCCGCCATGTTTCTCGTCGTGGGCAGAATCGCCTTCTTCGTCAAAGAAATGTTTGTCCTTCTTGAACTCATCAAGTTTATGCACTTCGTGATGTCCTTTTGTTGAATGTCCCTTGTTGTAATGTCCCTTTTCTTCATATTTATGGCCTTTCTCACCCTTTTCACCTTCATGATGTTCATCATAGTGACCTCCTTCATGATGGTGGTCTTCCTCGTGACTGCCGTGATCATCATATTCACCCTTATGTTGCTCCTTATCATGATGTCCTTTCTTACCCTCTTCATGATGATGATGACCTTTGTAGCCCTTTTCACCTTTTTCACCGTGTTCATCATGATGATCGGCATGGTGTTCCTTTCCGCCGCCTCTTTTAAAATCATGGTTTTGATTCGCTTCCTTTTTATCGCCGGATGCCGCAATATCCTGATCGGCTACTTTTGGAGTTTCATCCTTACGTTCACCCTTCTTAGCGGGGATACGCCGCGCGTCTGTTAAAGCAATTATAACAAAAAGTCCTAAGACTAAGACTAGCTTCATTTTAATGTTGGTGAGTATTGTTAGGGTTAAAAATGCCAATTGCCGCTGCCGCTGATGGCGCAGTAAATTTATACAAAATGTTGCGCAAACTGTGGTAATCCACGCGTCGCCAGACAGTCTTAGAGTATTGCATCAAGCGCCTGTTTTCAGCGAATCTCGGGTGTACCCGATGGATGGATCGATGCATCGATGGATATATCCACAATCATATTTTGAGTTAACATAGGAACGAAAATTAAAAATTAACATTTTACTAGAACTTTAGCATCAAAATTATATAAAGAACTTTTGTATTTAAACCACAATAACGTTCAAATGACACTTTCCTCTTGATGAAATTAAAATAATTTAACTTTAAAAACACTTAGCGGAAAGGACTAGTGTGTTTGTAGGTGAGTAAGTGTCGACTAGCAGAAGAAATAAGACGTAAAAAAAATGTATGATATTTATTACCTTAGTAAACATTATTCTTTGGAGAGTTAAACTAAATCAATGATCAGCTGACAGCAATAATATTATTACAATAGTACAATACATTATTTTGAAGCTAAGATACCGAAACAAAATATTCAACATTTGAAAACTCTTCCTTCTTCATGAACAATGTGTGTAATGTCATATCATCACAGTGTAGGCATCTCACTCTGTCGTGCCGCAAAATATAAACAAGTTTTTTAACCTCTTTAGACTAGTATTTATTTAATTCGTGTTTGGACTTTGAGATCGAATATTACCTATCCTAATCGGCTTAATTTTATTTTTAAACATTTCGATGCTCATAGTCGTTACTTAATTTCTAAAGTTTATTTTTTTTTATAATGTAAGGTGGCAAACGAGCAAGCGGCCACCTGTATCCACCGAAATAGAAAGCGACCGCTGCCCACAGATGCGTTACCTACCCTTAATCGACGGAGGCGGAGACGCACAAAAGAGGATATTTCCCCTTACTATGCGTCTTCTCTACCGTCAAATCCATTTTTCCTTCCCATCCTTTCCTCCGAAGAAAAGGGGGGAAAGGTACTAAAATTAGGTCTCCGGACTAAAATTATTAAATGGTGATTTCCGAATTTATTTTTGAAATAAGTATTCAGACACATTTTATTTCTACAATCCTACTGAAAAATGTGAATGTTTAGGTGGTTGTTTGATAGTAGATATAAAACGGAACTCCAAAACACATAGCTACTTATGTATATTTTCAAAGAAGCTAGTTTATTATATTCGCAAGCATACACGTAAGTTAACAACAATTTATTATCATAGGATATAGCAATATTCATGAGAAATCGATACTAATTTCAGTGATTCAGCCGCTAGCATAATTTCTGACGCATTAGTCCAATTTGGCGAAAGGCCAACATTCCTCAGTCGGAAACGGCAAAACGTAAAGCGCCTGTGACGTGATAAGTGATCATCATGCACTATTGCGCTAATTGAAATCTATTTGAACTAAACTACAAGATATAACTACCTACCAGTACTGTGATACTGTTAAACCTTCAAAAGTAGAAGGCTATGCAGACTATGAAGTCCTCGGTGTAGGGCGTGAAATCGCTGGATGCGTAAAAGGTACTGACGTTTTTATATGCCTCCAGTAATCAATAGACAAAGCCTCCTTCTCTCTGGGTCAGGCTCTTTCATTTTCTGGGTAATTATTCTCATTAACACCGGCGATTTAAGAGAACGCCCCTCTCTACTACCCTAATCTGCCACTGCATAATCTATATACCATCATCCACTTGTCCTTATCCCTTATGGAGGGTCGGCAACTGCATAATATATATACATACATGATAAATATGTACACAACCCTGATACATGCAGTTGAAAAATCAATTGTACAAGACTTGAGGAAAATCGCTTTTCTACTATAGAAGTAAACGTTGCAATCAAAAGCTGCACAACCTCCGTCGATTCAAATTTAATAAACTTACAGCGAGTATAAATTATAAAGTTTTATAATCATTCATTATTTCAGAGGTTTAAAAGTTTACTGTTATCTTATAAAAAAAAAGTATAGTCTAACCTGAAAACAAAGTAGGTAACGATGGAAAAACTAATTGAAAAATATTGGCAATTGCAGTTCCAGTGCAAGTGTTCTCTCTATAGGAAACGCTTGATTGCAACCACGACTAATTCGTTGTCCACGATAAAGTGGGCCAATCTCGGACACCGGTCTACTTTCTCGACAGTTTTATTTACTTATCTCGTCGGGAAGCGTTGCCAACAGACCACGGCCAACAATTTTATGTAACTTTGTTGTCGAAACCGAACGTGCTGCGAAATTGTTAATTTTATCTATCCCGCTTCGACTATTTCTCTATTGCGCTGCTATTGAAAATGGAAAATGTTTTATACAAAGTTCAAAGTTCAATTATTAATAACAACATTTTTTAATAAAAAAAATAGTATAACAGTCAACAAATCAAGTAAAAAAATTTAATTCTAATTAATTAGTCCTAGTCAGTATTCGGAGGGATTTATAGGGTAACACTTATTTGTGTCCCTTCTTAAAGCCCCAGTGCTTGTGATCTTCATGACCGCCCTTCTTTCCATGATCATGATGATGATGATGATGCTCGTGATGGCCACCTTCTTCATGGTGTCCCTTATGATCGTGGTGGTGGCCTCCCTTGTCATGATGTCCCTTCTTGCCGTGTTCATGGTGATGATGTCCGCCGTGCTTGTGCC